TGGTACTGCTAACTGTTGCTGATTGTAAATATATATTCAAAGATTTGTATTGTGTTAAAATAAGTTTGGTTTTGGGCAACTAATAGTTTGGTTTAAATGTCAGAACTTATAGGTTTGTTTGAAGTTTAGAAAAAGTTACAAATGCTCGGAATTTTTAAAATATTGTAGTTAAGAAATTTTCCATTGAATGTTAAATTGCAAAGGTTGTTTTTCTTTCTAAATTAGACACGCTACTTGAAATTCTTTTCCTTGTGTGTGTTTATTAAGATTGCTTGAACTGCTTCTGAAAATAAGAATGAATAGAGTATGTTTTTATTAGATGGTTGCTCACGTTCCTTTGAGTTGAATTGACTAACAAGGGTGGGGGTTTTTTTTGTCTGTTTTTTTTGCCCTCTACTATTATTTCTATTATTTAGATTCCTTGGATTCTTCTATATGATCTTTAGTGTGCAAGAGAAAGCCCATTTTTTTTCCAATTACAGCATAACTTTGCTATTTTGCCAATACTTGTAATTCTTAATGGTCTAAATTACTTGTAATATTGAAACTTGAATGTGTTCAGGACTAATACAAACTTCAGAATCTGGTCCAAAACTAACTGAAGTATGTGAAAACGTGTAACCGAAAACTTTAATAATCATTATGCATCCAACTCCAACTTAGAGAGGTTTATTTCTCATTTACCATGATACCTAGTAAACAAAGCCTACAGTCATTTCAGTTCAGTTTTTCCTTTCTCTTCTGCCTAATTCTGATACCAGTATGGTTAATAGGAACGAGCTTTGAACCCCTCATTCAGTCTTCCCAATTCTCAGTGCATTTTTATTGTAGAATTTGAACGTCAAAAGTGTTAGCTCTGGACACTAAGAAATTCCTCTTAAAATGCAAGGGGAAAGAATTCTTTTATTGAAACACGTCCATCCCGATGTTAGCTATTGTATTTGAAGTCATGCATAATGAAAATTATACATTTGCCAAATTTGAAATTGACACATTTTTCTAAACATTTCAATGTTTTCCTGATAGAAACCAAAATAACAATCTTCTGGCTTTGAAGCAATATGAAGTTATATGTTTAATTTCTGCCTATTCTTCCTTTTGTCAGGAGTCTCTGGTTTATGCAAACAGAAGCCTAGAAGCAGTTCCAGGTGAAAAGGTTCTGCGAGAGAACAAGGAACAACGTGATCAACAAAATCGTCTGAAAGAAATAGATTATCAACTGAAATCCCTAGAGAAAAATCTCGTAAGTCTCCTATTTTTGTTGTATTTTTTCCCCCTCAACTGAAAATTTTGGAGTTTACTTTTCTGTGTGTCTTAAAATAAAATCAAATTCTGCAACCTTATGTAAATTCCTGAAGTAATCCCCAGAGAAATATACAAGCAAAAGTCTCAAATATTTTTTTCTTAATCTGGGAAACATATTTTTCAGTCGTAATGCATGTTTCCTATTAACAAAATGTCTTTCAAAATGAAAGAAATTATTCTCCTCTCTTCCTCCCCAGAGGGAGATGGCATAAACAATCATATATAAATACATCCTAAAAGTGTTTTTTATGGCTCATATAATTCAGTGTTCTTCGAAGGATCAGGTCTGGTGGGAATGTTGTATACACTAAGTTATTGTGTCATTTAGTTTTGCTGAATTCATTTAGTATATTTTTGTAACTCAGTTTTCATCTAATAAATGAATTTTGTAGGTGCAAGGGCCTTTAAAATGGGAGCTTGTAAGTAAAATGGTAGTAAAAAATCATTACTGTTTTCGAATAAGTACATCACATCTCATTCTTTTTACTGCTTTGAGTAAAAGCAGGTAGGGAAAAGGCAATTTAAAATCCAGGAGGAGGATCCTATTGTTAACCTAGTAGGCAGAAATTATGTTTATTTTTAAGTCATAGAGCCAGGACTGACAAACCAAAACTTATGTTCCTCTCTCAAGTAATATATTACTATTCTTTTCTCTTTCAGTAAGTATAATTTATTACATTACTCTCAAGTTACAATAAGGACATTTAACTAAAAACTAGTGTCAGAGGAGCCTCGGCCTTCAGGAAACTTTTAACTCGTTTTTAAATATACGTTGTAAATGTGCTGTTTGGTCTGTGCTGAAAGAGCTACAAAGCACAGCCTATGCAGAAGAGAATTAGGGAGAAAATATATAAAACATTAAAAAGCAGCTAAATTCAAATAGAGAGTCCTAAGATGGTACAGTTGTCATTTGTTTGGCCTGAAAGCCAGTATTGGTATTTGTTTTTATGTCAGATCTCTCATAGATCTTCTTAAGAGCACAGAAAGAAAATATTTCTTTTATTTTACTTTATTTTTAATAACTTTGTACAAAACTTTGAATGTTTGTCTTGCTCAAGTGAAGTCAAGAATGAAACTGCTGAAGACTCAAAAGAACATTAGTGCCTTACTGAGCTGGCAGCTTTGAGATAAGAAAACTTTTATTTCTCCATAGAATGTGCTGTGTGGATAAGATATTCCTATCTTTACTAGGAAACCCAAAGCATTTTGGTACATTAGCAAGAGGCATCAGTGTAGGTAATTGACGTCAAAGAGGTTTGCAAATGAAGAAAGTGGTGATCGGGAATAGCGAGCAAGGATTTACTGAGGGTAAGTCATGCTTGACCAACCTGATTGCCACCTTTGATGAAATGACTAGATCTGCTCCGTAAGCTGGAGGGCAGGGCTGCCACTTACTGGGAGTTAGGCTGGAGGAGAGGGCTGACAGGAACCATATGAAATTCATCAAGGACAGATGTCCAGAGTTCTGCATCAGAGAGGAGTAACTCCTTCCAACAGTGCCAGGTGGAGCCTGGCTTGACAGAGGGAGCAGCCCTGATGAAAAGGACCTGGCATAGTTGGGGGCAATAGACTACACATGAGCCAACAGTGTGCCCTGCAGTGACGAAGGTTAACAGCGTACTTGGCTGTATCAACATAAGCACAGCCAATAGATTAAGGGAAGTAATTACTCCCCTTTACCTGGTACTCATTAGACTGTTTCTAGAGTGTTGCATCCAGTTTTGGGTTTCCCAGTAAAGAAGGGTGCTGACACACCTAAGCAAGTTCAGCAGAGGGCCACTGAGATGATTTGGGGCTAAAGCACTTGACCTGCGAGGCTGAGGAGACTTGGTTTGTTTAGCCTGAAGAAGAGATGACTCAGGCAGACCTAACAGTAGCTTTCCTATAGCAAAGACGTTGTTACAGAGAAGACAAAGCTGGAGTATCTTTACTGAGTTACATGGTGAGAGAACAAGAGACAATATTCATAAATTGAAACGGGGAGGTTCCAACTGGATTTAAAGAAAAAAAAAAATCTCTGAGGGTAATTAAGAATGTGAAGGAGGTTGCATGGAGAGACTGTGAAATCTCCATCCTTAAAAATTTCGCACATCTGGCTGGACAAAGCCATAAGGTGTTTTGATCTTATCTGATAGCTGACTCTGCTTTTAGCAAGAGGTTGGACAGAGACCTCCCCCTCCCCGTCTGATGATTTTTGATTCTACAAGGAAAAGGATCAAGAATTTTTATGCGTTTCTCAGGTGGCAGTCTTTCATTGTTATCACTACATTGAAGGAAAAATATTAATTTGTCATGGCTGTGCATGGTAGGAGTTTTTCTTGTGTGTAGCTGATTTTGGTGGTTTTCATGTAGTCATAGAAACATAAATATGTGAGTTTGTTGTGTCAGGCCAAAACTCCATGTAGTCTACCTTTGGTTTGTGGAGGTGTGTATTCAGCAGTAGGCTTACTTTCTGCAGTAATCAGAGTTAGGACAAATACTCTTCCAGTTATCTTTTATCGCTCTCAAAAAGGGATCTTCAGTGCGGATCAAAAGCTTTGTGATTCAGATAGCAGCATAACCGCAGCGGTATGATCTCAATTGCTGATGGCACTGTCACTGCAGTTGCAAAAACTTCAGCTGCTACCTACATATGCAGGGTTTGCGCTGGCAGTGCTGGAACTGCACAGCCGATACAGAGTACTCGTGGAGTATGGGAACAAAGATTTCAGACAGAGGCAGTGGCGGCTTTAGAGGCTGTTCACTTGTGTGTGTGTGTGTGACCACAGTAAGGCAGCATATTTAGCTCTTATCTGTTCACAGTACCAAAACAGTAGTTGAACTTAATTTTAATACACTGCTTTATTATATTAAACAGTTGAAAGATGAGAGGCAAATAAAAAGAGGAATTCTGTGGAAATTCAGTATATCAAATAAGTTAATGGACAAACAGATAAACTAAGTCTGTGTATTGTCATCTTTTCCTAGTCGTTGACCTTTACATCACTTTTTGTCACTACTGATCTTGTTTGTGAGGCAAACACAATCCGAGGAAGTGCGTCTGGGAACTGTATGATAGTCTACAGCAGGCCTGGGAAATGCGGTGGGCTGCTGACTCATTCAAATATTTTGTATATAAATGGGTCAGTTCCAAGTCTTGGTTGGGTTATAGCAGCATTGTTTGGTATCACATTACACGCAGACTCTTGCAACATACCACAGGTTTTTCCGTGGCTAGATTGTGTGTATTTAGAACTCTAAATAGATAGACTGTAATGTTAATTTACAGTGTTTATAAACATATATTGTTACCAATGTGTGACTCATGGCCGCACTAGCACTGCTGCGTGCTGTGCAGCACCTGGCAAGGCTTCTTCAGGGGGGATATATTGTGTCTTCTTATCAGTTGCAGCTCTGCAGCATGACTCTGAGATCGCGGTGTATGGGTATGAAATTTTTGTGTATTAGGTCCTCTGCGAGATAGTTTGGTTGCCAGTGTAAATAAAGTATTCCATTCTGAATGAAAGTAGGTTTCTAACAGGAAAGTAAAATATATAGAAAAGGTACACTTTTTTGTGTGAACAGTTTTCAGAAAATACTGCTTTTATTTTTATTTTTTAGTTTCATGTCCTTGATACCTTCTAATCTTATTTCTGGAAAATACAGTTCTTGCTAGAGAAGGTTGGACAAAACAGCATGACATCTCCTCCTGATGCACCATACATAATTGAATGGTTTTTTACTTATTTGGTGTGGGAATATCTAAAAATGAGATAACTCCTATGCAATGTGGATTGAGCGCCTTGTTTCTATACCAAAGTAATATTTTGGCCATCAATTCTGTAAAAATGTTAGCAGCAAAACTGCTGTCTGCCAGGAAACTGCGTGATGAAAAGCTAAACTGAATCCTTGAGGGGGAGTAGGTAGATGGCACGTTTCCAGAATAATTTAATGATTTCTGGAAATACTGTTTGTTATTCAATAGGTGGCACTCTCACTGTGTATCAGAGGAAGAATGCCTAGACATGGTTCTAGGGGATATTATTACTGGTGAAAATGTTGTCATTTCTATGATATAAAACAAAGGTTGCAAGAGATTGCCTCTCACTTTTGGCAAGATTCCAGGTGTGCAGCTTTTAATGTTCAGTCATTTTTCTAGCTTAGCTAATTAAATTGTCTATTTAAAATTCACGTTTTTAAAATTCACATTGCATTTAAATTTCTCTTTTAGTCTTTCCTAAACCGCTGTAATTCAGTGTGTAAAATTGGAAATAAGTTCTCTGCTCTTAGTAGAGGCAGTGATTTGTCAGCAGTTAGGAATGTTATTTCTGAATGTGTGGTTAAACTGGGCTTTATAATTTTAAAATATAATATTTTACAAATTTAATGTCTGAGAAATTACTTTTTAAAATATACTTTAAAAAATCCCTCAGGTAAAATATTTTGTTGTTGTTGTTTCTTTTGTTTCTTTGTTTTTGTTTCCTACGTGGAAATTATGCGTAGTTTAACTAAGCAGAATTTATCTCTGTGTGTTAAGGAGTAACTTGCAGTAGGTATAAAAGTAACTTTATTAATACTTTTTTTTTCTGTATGTAGAATGCTGTATTTCTTCCACTACTGTAAAATGAGTTATTCAAATGGATTCATATAATGGTAGCTTTACTCTGACCTTCTTTTCAAGGGAGAGGAATACATTCGTCATATTTCTGGAGCAGGCTATTTAGTAGGTGCTGGCTTCTGAAATTATAACATTTATGGATTCTTCCACTACACTTTACCTCATATATGCTTTGAGACTTCATGGTTTCAGCTAAATCTGGGACTGAGCAAACAAAACAAAGCTGGAAGATAAGATTTTAACCTACTTTACGATCAATGTAAAAACCAGAAGGTCTGCTAAGTATTATACTTGAAGTAATGAAACTAAAGGCTTTGGAATCTGAGTTCCTCCTTTATTTT